CGGATACCATTGGCAACAACCTACTACAGGAGAGAACAAACCAACTTCCAACTGAAGAGGAAATCAGGAAAAGACGTAGGAGATAGATAAGACATACACTGAGGAACTCACCAAACTGAATTGAGAGGCAAGCACTATCTTAGGATCGTGAAGGGAAGAAAAAGTGAGGAAGACCTAAGAACACATTGGATTTGTAATTGAAAACGGCCACGAAAAGGATGAATAGCAACTGGAAAAAACTGGAACGAACTGTCGAGGACAGAGATGGATAGAGTATGCTGGTGGGCGGCCTATTCTACACGAGTGTTAGCAAGCGTAAGTGAGTAACTGAATTTAAGTTTCTTTAACTACTACGGTCTATACTTTTCCGGACATCTATCCAAGAAAATAAATAAATCCTAAAATATGTAGGTTTTGGTTCCTACCCACTAATTTGGATCTAGAATCATTCTTTACAAAATATGTTAAAAACTAAATACTCCTCTTCCATATTTTCTAGTCTATCCCAAGCAGATACGCTAATGGAGGGAGGAGTAAAAAGGTATTTCACTCACGAAATGACCCAAACTTATTCACTCATTGACTATCCTTCCGGATGGCCATGGACTTGAAACCCTGTCTGATAAAGAAGTTGAAGGTCTAATTTGACTTTTAGCTTCAAGCTACTATAAAAACTAAAGAATTCCCGATATAACAGCCCTCATTTAAGATCCATAAATATAAGGAATTCAATATAAAGTGGTCCAACTTTAGAAATCTGAAAAAAACTCGGACAAGCTTATTCATTACTGGGTATGCACCCACATAGAATAGCCTTCTTTCACAAACACTGATGGAGGACGGCTTTCATGCATCTGTCAGACAATTAAGTGGAGCCCTTATATATGCTGGCTTTTCAGTATGTGCATTGATACCATAATATGATAATATTAATTCTGTAAACTCCTAAAACTGTAGGCATATAACAGTAAATACCGTAAAAATACATGCAAACTTGTAACTTAGTAAACGTTTGTTCGCCCCCAGCTACACCAATCATTCATCAAAATTTTCCATCCTATATATATTCTAAACCTCGCGTTCTAAACTTTCCAGTTTCAACGCTACATGGTTCCATACCTTCAACACTGAACAATCCACTTTGATAATCATTCAAAGAAGACAGATATTTTATTGGGTCTTCACTCAAACCACACAATATACTGTTCTCTTTGTACATTTTAGATATTGCAGGACTCATTCCCCGCATTTTACCTCAGCTGTTCCTTCATCATTCTCACAGATCCCTCTTAGTTACATTTCGTAACTCATTTCCCTGTCGATTCTTCAAGTACAATACATCCTAGAGATAGCATTTAATTTGAGTTTAAGCTATCGATTAAGCATGCCTTAATATGCACCATCGCTAAAGCTAGGTTCTGTAGTTCATACATAGTTATTTTTCCTTCTGCTTGAATTTTATCCCTTTTCTTTTCCCAGCACTACGTTTGCTACACTCAGCTATGAAATTTCCACCTAAATCTGAACGATATCCCTAACATACTCGTTCGTCAACGTCACAGCTCAAATAGGCACCATCTTTTTGTCACTTTATGGTGATGACAAACTTACTAAACAGCTTTTTTGCATAAATCTATCTACTGAGTAGCTAATAAACTTCAGTGAACTTTCTATCTTCAAAGTTTCCATAATTGGTAATATAATCTTTCTAAATGACCCGACTGGGAAAGTAACCTTACGGTTAACACTTGTACATTATCGATGACACCTGTAAAAATAGTGTGTGCCTACTGTCAGAAGTGGTTCCCCGTTGAACATCAAGTAAGAAATTCGCAACGCTTTTTAAACAGACCGTATCAATACTGTTAATCGATCAAAACATTTTATGTACTCGTTTGCTGTTATTCGTAGTTTCTGTTAACTTTGGGTTATTTCATTGCTATGAGGTCACATAATGCAACTTTAAATGAAAGGTTATTTACGTGGTATCCCACTACCCCAGATAAAAACCTTCATAACATCAAAACGGAGTTGTATGATAGTCGACTAATGATCTGAGTCTGCAAACTTCATCCAAACCCAAGCTTCAAATAAATTTTCATCGGCTAACTTCATGTCTGTTGCTCATAGGTCGATTGTGTTCAGAATGTTTCCTAATGTTACTACTAATCTTCTTTTTGCTTAGATTATCTATCGTTAAGCCAATCTAACATAACTAAAATTACCTTTTGATTTACCATTTTATTTATAAATAGGATTTTTATAGAAATCTGTAAGCTATGAATGAACAAAACGATAAAGTGGTCATATTGAAATGAAAGTGTTTTGTCAAACTTGGTGTATTATTGAAGCTATAAAAAATATGTTTTAATTACTGGTGATGACGTATTTCTGCTTTTACCCGTACTAGTGGACGTCTTCTGTATATTATATGCTGGATCTAGATAGTTACATCCTTCAAACATTAGGTTATGCCTTCATTTTTTTCTTTTGAATCACAAAACGGCCTAATTTAGACAATGACCGAAGACCTGAAAACACTGGACGGCCGTTTTGTTCCAGTATGAGCAGTGTTTGAGAAAGATCCTCATCAAAGACAATAGATAGCCGCGCACTATCGTGGTTTGGTCAAGGTCAAACCATAAAACCACTGATTCTTCTGGCAGTGGTCTACAGGTTAGGTTTACACGCGTGAAATCAAAGGTCCTCAGAACCTCAATTAGATGTCCCCAGATTTCTGGCCTTCTTATACACTAACAAATCAGTGACAAACTAAATCGAAGGGTTGGTTATTTAAGACCTAAAATACTCTATTTAATTGTAAATACCCACCCTTCTAACATCCTAAACTTGTACATTGTCAATTCAAATGTCACTTCAAGAAAACTAAGCAATCGAGTAAAAATCATGTCGTTATACTATCAAGTTTCTAATACAAATCTTGAGTAATGTTAAGGACACCTAAATTAAAAACAACAAACTGAATATGTCCTCAAATTCTACAACATTACTGAACACTTGAATCAAATCTGAGAAAGGTAATTCACTTATCTTCTTATCAATGATAGATCTTTTAAAACACACAGAGCTGATGTCAGAAAATGAAAAGGCTTACCAGCACAAATTGTTTTCATTTCACAAAAGAAGTTTAAGGTAAAAGGTAGGTCAGTGCAATTTCTGATATCCAAATCATTGGAAGAAACATTCATGAAGTTGTTGGGCACAGTTATTTTGCCAGTGGTCAGTGAAAAAATTCGACTGCATTTTGAAGACATTACGTTTGTTGACATCAAAAAAAAAACAAATTAATTTGTGTTCAAAATTTCATGAACAATTTTTAGTGTCATCAGATTTGACAATTGAAAAATAAACAAAAGACTAGTCTGTCACCATTAAGTGTGTGAACAGACTGTGGACTCAAGAGGATCAAAAACCAATCCAAACTAAATAAATGATAATAATAACTAAAATCCACAAAATCACTCATATACAAACGTTATTCGAAAGATCTTAAACATGGTAACGACATTCTGGTGTGTAAATAGTGTGTAAGTATAGTAAATGCCGCTAACCTCTAGCCGATTGGGTGTCATATGAATATTAATTTACTATAAGATAATATGCACTTGGTATTGTTTTACTTCAATCTTCCCATTGATGTTCAGGGTTGCAATTGATCAGTCTGTTATTAGCATATGTGCATACTGTGCGTATTGCCTCGATATTGCTTTAATTTACAAGCATTATAAGCAAAGATGGATAGTGGCTAGCAGTGGAATCCAGGACGCGCGTTTAGTCCTATTTGGGGCTCGTCAGCTGGATGTACCTGCATCTCCGAGTTGTTGTTCACTGATCAATTGCAGTCCTAAACGTCAATGGGTAGATTCAAGTAAAACAATATAAAGTGAATTAGGCTTCACCCCATTGCACAAGCAAGTGGCTATCAGGACTCATTAGCTAAGTGGATAACGCGATGGCGTTTGAAGCGGACGGTACTGGGTTCGAGTCCCAAAGTGAACGCCAACTCTGAGAGGCAGGCACATCCAGCTGACGAGTCCCAAATAGGACGAGACGCGTGTCCTGGATTCCACTGCTAGCCGCTATCCGTCTTTGCTTATAAGATAATATGGTTTGCATATTGCGACATGAGTTAATGTTAATTTATTTCACACAACACACACACAAAATGCAAACTACTTAAATGATGATCTAAACATGACGACCTATATTTTACACCCACTGACAATTTTAAGAATTGTTTTTTTAATTTTCAAACATGGAAATAAAACAAAAGAAATCACTTAAATATATTTCATTTGTTTATTATAAAAGATTTTTCTTTAGGTAGAACACAAAAAGTTTTATATTTAACATAATGTACTTGAATTAGATGTATTCGTTTTATTAATCGTATCAATATATTTCCTTTATTTAATTCAAATTATTCTGTAATTTAACATTGCTGTAGTAAAGAATCATAGAAAACATAGTAATAAGTGAATATAGACAATTATTTAACAAGTAGTTATGCGAATTGGCAATAATACAGATTAGTAAGGGAGTAAAATAAACAAAGAATAAATAACTTTTTTTAATGAGGTAAACCCTTCTATCTAAATAATAGTAATGATACTTATAAGCACGTTTTCTCTGTTGATCAGGTTTGAGATTTATTCTTAAAATTATATGACAAAGCTGTAATCGATGATTGCTAACCATTTTGGGAATGAGACTTGGTAATAAATACTATTGAGGTTTGACTTCATGGTTTAAGGCTTTACTGTTTGTCCTTAAACCAAAAGGTCTTAAGTTAGATCTTATGGATAAGACTGTTATGTAAAATAGGAAGAACATAGTACAGTGAAATAATACCTTATCAATTTAGGTGCCTGACCTAATCAGTAAATCATTGGTTAGTGAAATATTGCGAAATCAACAATTGGAAGTGGTTAAATGTAATGCCATTGCATGAAAAGTATGCAAACGTTCATAATTTTTTCTTACTTTCGTTCCAAGTGAATAGCAATAAATAAAAAACATTGAAACATAATTCGACTCACTCCGCACACTTCACTACATGGTGGACACTGGACAAAACCTTTGATCAATCCTAACTTCCCTTGTACGGTTAAAGCCATTGTTCCTCCCTGTTTTGGACACGAAATAGTATTCGGTCCTATCATAATCGTTAATCCATTACCGCATTGGTACTGTAGTTTAGTAGTAAAATATGTAAAGGAAGTGTGGAAATTAAAATCTCAATGATTGCTCAGAAAACAAACGCCCATTTATTATTCAACATATACACTTACTACAAAGTTTATTCCCTCCACTTTATGAAAGAATATTAGTATTGCCATATTTATAAAGTGATAACTTCGAAAATATATGCAATCAATTTTTTGATATATTTGAATTACTACCTACCTTGTAAAATTACGAGGTGGTATATTTCGATGTACATAATGAGGTGAACAAGGCTGTACAGGAATAAAATTTCTACTTTATCATCTCGAAACTTTTTATTTAAAAGCTGCTAACTACTATTCACATTAAGAATAATCTTATTCTCTATAACAAAATGTAGTCGTGATATGACACTTAAGAAGTTAATAAGAACAAATGTGATTAAACCGATGAAAAAATATCTAGTTAAATAAGCCTATTGTGTCACAGAAGAGAAATGAAGGTAGCCCAATGAAGAAATATTTCTTTTCTTACACATAGTTCCCTTTATTATCTTAAAGAGAGCAAGAACGCAGATTGGTGCACCAATCTTCGTTCTTAATTCTTTCCTATTATTTTATTTACTTCAGCTGCACGATCGTATTTACGTTTAGTTTATCTACTGAAAACTGATAAAATAGAAGAATATTATATAATTTTACAGAACTAAGGTGATATCATGCCATAAATAGTTTATATAAATCAATTATTGAGTGTTAGTTACGTAATGATCCGAAAGCTAGTGAGAAATGTTAAGGTAAAGATGGTTTGTGATTGAGTGAGTGAGTGAAAAACACATCCTTCATTATGATGTATTTATTACCATTATCTAGTAAAGTTTTCAAATCAATAGGCTTTATACACTTTTGTCGATAATAGATAATTGTAATCAAACTCATGTCTGTTAAATCGAAACTTATTTTTCGGAATTATTTTATGTACATCTTTGAATGAATATGTTATACGTTAAATGGATCAATCGAAGTGGTAATGGTGACTAAAAAATTGATTCCACAGTATATACATACAAATATTTTACATAATATATTCTTGAAAATTATATGAAAGATCGAGACAGCTTAAGATTTCTAGATAAAAATAGACTGGAACAACATGACTATTTCTGGTTAAATACTTGATTACGGTAAAAAGGTTTGATGGAATTCACACAAAATTTAACTGAAATTCAGACAGATAGCCAGTGTAGCAAAAGAATTAGTTTCGATTTGGTCGAACGTAGTGATACATGCAGAATCACAATTGACCACAGAAACTAGTGGAGCATAGGCTTCATAACGTATGACTAAACATTACTAATAACAATGTACCTCTATGACACTGCGAAAACTTGTTATGGAGTAGTGTTAGACAAAACTCTAGTAAATACTTACTACGTGGCATGATGCTCCCATATCACCGGTACTCTGAATACCTCTGTTTGTGTTTAGTACCCATCTTTCATTATTTCCATGATTAACACACATTGAATTTGGTCCAAACTGTTGCATCAAAGGGTTCACACCTATAAATTGAAAACCAGTAGTATTCGTAAGAACTGAGTGGACCGTCGTCGAGTATATAGACTTATTACCCTAAGATATCTAACACTTAAGATGAAAAATTTCTTCAGGAAAATTACGGAATTCATGTTCTTTAAAATGAAGTTACGAACTTAGTGTATAATTAATATACTTCCAATAGTTTAAGTAGAAACATTTTAGAGTAGTTAACTTCACAATGAAGTCATGAAAATATATACAGGTAAAATATTTAAAACAAAGTTGAATAGAAATTTTCGTCTACTTAAACAGACTTTTCGATCTCAGAAAACCTGGTCTACAGTATGTTCGGACATTTACAAGATATTGCGAAATTCAAGATAACCTAATAACTTGATAGATTGTTATATTAGTCCAGAATTGAGATACATTCAAAAACATTTAGTTCACGTTTTTTGTAATAATTTTTTTCTGAAAACTTATTCTTAAAAGACAAACTCTAAAGAGTCAGGTAGTCGTGTCATAATATTCTCATGTGTTCAAGAAATGTTACTGATAGCACCTTTACATATTTACAACAGTTATTTATTCTAGGATTTCTCTTATCTTAAGCTTCAAAATACAAAATACCCAACATTCTATTGTATCAGTATTCACACAAACTCATCGAATTTTCACAAACGTATCAAACGTAATTGATCTCGAGTCATATTTCTTAAGGTTGTGACAACAAAGTACACATACTTGCTAGATTATTTCGAAAAAACACACCTGATCTATGTAAATATTAGGCACTAAAAATCAAAAAGGTAGAACCTATCTTTAAGAAAAAAGAAATACGAAATGAAAAAGACATTTCAAAGTTCTGTTTATCTGAGGAGTAAAAAATCTGTACTTATATCGATGAGATATAATTAAGTAGTATAGTATAATGGTAGAGCTTTTTCTTTATAAGAACGACCTTGACCGATGATATAGATTTGGATGTAAAAAAAGAAGACTTTTTGTTCTTATTTCACATCATGGTATACTCCTAGTTGGAAACCTAAAAGTCCTGTTGGTGATATGTTAGCTTTTGTAAACTCGAGAATCCTTAAATACCCTGTAATTATAACTTCATACAGAGATGAACCCAGAAAAATAATCTATAGGCATATCACGAAAGAAATGTAAAACTTCTGTTGGCCTCAAGTTAAACCCCACTCAACATAAACAACCACTTTTTGGACATTTACCATTATGTCAACTTTATTTATCATACTTTGACAGACGGTGAATTAGTAAAACGTCCTGAGGACAGGCCTAAAAATCATTATATATATAAATTCATCTATACAGTGGCTATCTGAAAGTTCTGCTGAATGAATCTGACAGTTAACTAGTCTTATTATGAGTTAATTTTGATCAGGTTTTTGGACAAATTAAAAGATATTGACAATTTTTTCACCACTATTAATAGTTTGATAAACAAGTTGCTGTAAGTTACACTTGTTCTCTAAGCATGGATTCAGTTTTGTGAATGTTGTAACAATAAATTTTGTACCACCAGATTAATTTGATTCAGTTTCATCCAAGACTGAAGTAAATATATTTTAATACCTATCTATTTAAAACGTCAAACGATAGTTTTCAATTCAGGCTAGGTCGACCTAATCGTGAAAATTCGTTTCGATATTGACCAATTTTAATTTTATTGGGCGATATATGTCAAAAATAATTAATTGAACCTTCATGTAATAATACTTAGGAGGCTTTTATAGTAATAAATTCCATAAGTCAGTAAGACAAGTATTTTTTAAGAAACGAAACCAACTTACTAAATAAAGTTATGTGATAATCGAATAGTATAGGTGATCACAATAACCTATTACATGATTTGATATATTACAGGTACATTAAACTTCGGGATGATTTTCACAGCAAACAGTGATTAAAAGTAAAGAAAAAATACGGCAATTTGTCTATATATATATATATATATATATATATATATATATATATATATATATATATTATTGACTGAGTTGGCAACAATTAGTTGAATTCCACTTGTTTTATTATTATAACTTACCTAAACGCTGATTATTTTCGTCATGTGTGCAAACTGATGTTTGACCTGTCCCATTAATGTTTGGTACCGGCTAAAAGGAAAGAAAAGGACATTAAAATGCACTTTAAATAATTTTTTTAAAGATACAAATATAAATTTCTCAGAATCATACAACATGTACAACTGAGAGGTGCAAGAAAAAAGCCTATAGGCTTGAATCAATAACGTTATTTAATTCGACGAAAGTTATTTAGGCTCGTAGTAGTAAGCTTCGCCCATCCCAGGCCAACTTTACTGACCGTGCATATAGATTGATTCATAAGCGTCTCTAACCTATATCTGTGATTATTAACTACTGAAAAACCTTGACAGTATTTACCTCACAAACCATTTATTCTAACATTTCAGAGTAATTAAAAATTTTACTTTCAAAAGAGAACTATGGTTAAATACCATAACTGAGTCTGAATTTTTGTCACTCTCATATTGGACTATGAAGTGCACAATCAAAATTTTTAATAAAAGTAACCAAGATATTAGTAATTGAATTTTGGCATTATTAAGTAATCTGTAGTTAAAGGTCAAGAAAATTTCTTCAAAATAGAATGAAGCAACTCTGTTTTTTAATGCAAACTGTCAGTTCAGTCATTAACTTTATACTATAGGGTGAACTAAAGCTTACTGTAGGTTGAGTAAATTACCAATATATTTGTTATGTTCTACAGTGTACATAATAAGTTAGTCACTAATATTACTAGTTAGTAAGAATTAAATTTTCTTTGGATCTTCAACAGTATTATATGTGTACAGTAAAGGTGGTAGTTTATTACCTGAAACAATGCACATCCATCATGTAATTTACTATCACCTGCCAAAAATTCACGCTCTACATGGTTTGTTACATGTTGTTTGTCTGGTTCAATACGCTGCTGAAATCGATTCATGTTACAGTAATTATATGCATTGTTATATGATACACACTGAGCACGTGTCAGATCAAAGTAATCACACCATGGACCAGTTGGTTCGTTTCTGTAGAAAAGAAATAAATAAAATAAAATTGTTCAGTATCATTTTTTGGTGAAAACAATCTAATTATCTGAGGAGGATTAATGAACATATAGAGTTAATTTAGTGAATAATCAATCAAAGTAATTGATAAGCAAAATGAAAATGAAACTTATTCATAAACTTAACTGATGCAAGATCATAAAAAAACTTTAAATTAATTTATTTGTCAGAAGGGGTTTTGTGGAGATTTCAGTCATTTCAATAGTTGAAATCATGAGTCAATTGAAGCTAGACCACCATGGAAAACCTGGAAGTACTGGACGGCCATTTCGTCTTAGTATGGAACTCCTCAACAGTGCGCATTCCGGCTCAGTGGTCTATTGGTTAAGAGCTCGCACGCGAGATTGATAGGTCCTGAGTTCGAATATCGCTGGGGGTGGGATCGTGGATGCGCATTGCTGAGGAGTCCCATACTGGGGCGAAACGGCCGTCCAGTGCTTCCAGGCTTTCCATGGTGGTCTAACTTCAATTGACTCATGATTTCAACTATTGTAATTTATTTGTTTTTAAATCATAATACAAGATTTCTTTCAATTGTGATAAACTGATTATAAATTTATTTGGTAGGGTATTTCATAAAAACAGAGTGTAAATACTTAGTTGAACTAACTGTAAAGTAATTGCAATGGATTAAATGAACATTAAGGAAACATGTAAACAATTTAAACTTCAGATTGAGCTGTTGCGTAAATCAAGTTTCCTCCAAATTTTTACTCCTTACTGGTTTGTGTAAAACAAATGCAAGATATATATATCTTAGTTAAAACATAATAATTTGGTTTTCATTTTATCGATAATGCCATTGACTACGTTTGGTTTATAATACTTAAATGGTTGTATAAGAAATAACCTGGGATTATTGTCAGAGATTAGAGTTTGATGTTCTAATCAATACTGAATCTTACTTACCTTACGCCTTTTACTCTTCGTGAATGGCATTTCCATTCTTAATTAAAAATTATGAATTCATACTTCTCATTGACCATAAAAATACAAAGTGTAAAAAAATATCATTTTTTAACATACTAATTACCGGGATCTTTTTATGGCCATATATTCAGAACAACTTTTTGTAATAAAGTCACATCCTAAATTTTTTCCCCATTTCCATTTTTCGGCCATCTTATAATTAACTTCATACCACCTGGTATAAGAAATTATAAAACAGAAATGCAATACTGTCAAAAATAATCAATAAATAAATAAAGTTCATTTGTGATGTGTGCTACTGATGTCGACAGATATATGTAGTATGTACCGCCAATCGAAATTGAAATGCCTAGCGGCGGAAGGTCAAGAAAATTGAAGAGAAAAGAATGAGAACAGAGAGTGATTAGTATGGAAACGAAGGAACAATCAAGTTCGAAACGACTGATTGACATTTTGTAAATGAAGTATTACTGTATGGTTCTCAGATTTTACTAAGATATTCTGTAGTGTTGCATTGGAATAGACTTGTTTGTCACCGACTTGTGTTCTCGTTAACTACACACTTAGATATATAGTACGTAAGAAGCAAAATCTACATGCCCCTTAACCTTACTTTATAACTTAACAGAATTATGAAGCATATAAGTACTTCACAAACGACTTATAACACTGTTATTTCCTAATTGAAACTGAAAAATTACGGTTAACCTATTAAAACGTAAGGTAACCTGAATAGCTTAAATTCATCTTCAAGTGCTAAGTAGTATCATCCTGAACTCAGATACTTTACCGCTGACAATGAGTTTCTCTGGACTTTATAACATATAATATACCTCGTCATTGTCTTGTCATCTGTAAGACTGAAACTTGCAGACTGTAAATATCAGTAAGTGATGAATAAATCCCTGACTACTCATACTAAAATAGTTGTAAATACTTCATGTAGAGTCAGATAATGGAAGTGTAAACACTAAACATTGTTGAAGAGCACTCTGGTTAATTTTTTAACTCACTGTCACTAAGAAAATCATATAAATTTTGTGTAACTCTGAAATGTTTACACCCAACATCTAGTTCTTTAAACTCGATGGTTTGTAATGATAATTCTATCTTAGAATTAACGAATTTAATGATTAGGAAACTGAAGCATACTTTCACATCAACCTCTACTTCCAGATTAGTTTGCTTAGTTTAACGACAGCTTCTGTCATAAACAGTTATCAACTAAAGGACCAATGAAGATTAAACTATTGCTTATCCTAGATTTATGTTTGATTAAATTTAAAACCGAGTTTCAACTTAGGTATATACCCAATAGATTACTAAGTAGAAATTGTATAATCCACATTTTTATCTTCACTTAACTCATAGTGATACGTGACAATCACTCACCTCTATCTGTGATCTCTATTTTACTCTGATTATGATTAAATCAGTCTCTTGCTGTAACTTCGATAGTTTCCAATCAAAACCAATCACAATATTTGCTTTGTTTAGATAAGTAATGTGTGTAAATTTCAGTCCAGTTTGAAAATGATTGTTTATCACAGAATATTATCAACTTGATACCTGGTAAAATTACATTTGGTAACTGACTGTCTTTATATTCATTAAATTAGAGTATGCCAGGAAGGCTTTGCTTAATTATCATGAACAAAGATGTTTTAAATGAATGAACAATACAAGAAAATACAAAAGAATTGACTATTTTTTTATTTAAACTATACCAAATTTACGCAACTGTGTTTTGAATAATAATGAAAATATAATGAAATTGAAAGAAAAAACAACAACATGAAAACTATGATCAAACAGGTGGTTAAATTTACATCACCTAGAAATTATTCACTTACCCAGAATCTTGGAAAACTGATAATGTTAACCCTGAAATAATTGACGGTAGTTCAACACTTCCTGACATAAGTTCATCCTGAAGTAAACAACACAATAATACTTTATGTACATAAATTTAATTGACCCAAATTAGATTTTTAAGAAGCGCAAAATAAATTACGACAAAGCTATCCAGGTATGACATTTCTATATTCTTGATATATATAGAGTAGGAGCTCCTTATAATACAAAATGTTTCTTTTATTAAGTGCATATTTACAATAACAAAGGAATTTCGTGAATGCTTGTGCAAACAATAATTAGTTTTCAGAAGGGGTTTTGTGGAGATTTTAGTCATTTCAATAGTTGAAATCATGAGTCAATTGAAGCTAGACCGCCATGGAAAACCTGGAAGTACTGGACGGCCATTTCGTCTTAGTATGGAACTCCTCAGCAATGCTCATCCACGATCTCGCCCCCGCGATATTCGAACCCAGGACCTATAATTAATTTCATTATTTTCTAGTGGATGATAAGACTGTAGACTAAGTTTTTATCAAATATATAATATCCTAAATGGTTAATGATGGTCACCACAGTAAATAAAGTTTGGATTCAATGAGTTAGTACAAACTCACCTATAACGAATTCATAAACATATATTTTAAATTAATATTAACGTACATAAAACTTCATCTTATGCTTTGTCACAGTTCATTCAAACAATTATCTACAAATAGTCATTTTCATGTTGTTTGTTTTTTATAATCCTTTACAAAAATTAAAGAACGTGAAAATTATGACATCAGTAAGAATTCAGTGGCCGTTCCTTGAAGGTTATGAATTCACGAATTTGAAAATATTTAATAAAATTTAACTTATTTTCCATACGATTTTAATACAACAGATTCATGTATTCGGCTTTCAGTCACACTTTCAGTGTATTGGGACTATTGGCACCACCTGTCTGTCTAGGACAAAATAAATTAAATCGAGTCTGGACCTCCAGTCAAATAGTTTACATCATTTTACTTCGATCACTACAACACTCTTTCTGATCGTCTGGATAAAGAAAAACTTGAACAGTGTTTGACTAAACAAATTTGTTACAGTGAACTCAGACATAAACAATTTTTATTCTAACAAAATTTAGGGAGAAAACTAAACGACTACTAAACACCCTCAAGAATTATAGTAAAGCATGTTATATTATTCATGCTTACAATTTCTATGTTAAAGACTATGATAGACATGATCTCACGAACAGCTCAGAAATCTACTTTCAACCTGAGACATATGACACTAAAATTTATTAATGCCTGTCTATTAATGTCATATATTTATTCAAGTAAGAAACAAATCATCCAATAATGCCATACCATCGATTACAAGCTGTTTATAGCTAAAAAGCAGTAAAACTCCCTATACATTAAGTATTTTTCATAGACAGTATTCAATAAGATTTACAACAGATTCATATTATATTCATGAATTCCAGGAAGGATCATGATTTCCAAGCATTTATATGAGATTACTTGACCAAACAGGCTTCATTAGAGTAATGATTATCTAATACTTAATTGAATAAAACTATCAGTCATTTCAGTATGAATAAATGAAAGGCGAAAACCTCGTGCTTTTTCTACTTACATGTACAACTCTTTTCTCAAAATGTGTTAAAAGTGTGGCACTACTGCCTTCATTTTCAAGATCAACACCGTCTAAACTTGGGCAGTTGAAGTGACGTCTGGCGAATTCCTAAACCAAAAAAGAGTATGTTTCGATGAGGTCATGAACCGATCTAGAATAAAAAACTATTTAAAATATATAAGCACTGGATGACTATATCTTCCCAATATAGAGCTCCTCAATAGTGCTCATTAACGACTCCATAAATGGAGGTCGAACCTAGAACTTTCTGTCCAGCCCATAAAGCCTTGAACGCCAAACCAGTGGGTTAAAAGTATAATTTCGGTCAATCTATTATACCACGTGACTATCTACTCTTACTTTCGGTGAGTACTTTACTCATACTCCACATGGTTAAACTCTACTGGCCACGGCTTATCAGCGAAACCCCGGAATGTCGCTCTAGTGGACATCTTTCCAGTGCTTCCAGGTTTTCATTTGTTGCCCAGCTTTGATGGACTCGTGATCGTAGTAAAATTCAGTAATCTGCACAATTCTGATACTGACACATGTGTATCTCATTCAAATTGAAATGATTTCATTATCAAGAGTAAATATTAAAGTCAGCTATTGACTATACAAAGTGTTTCTGGAGATTCATCGTTGTTTCGTGTGGACTCACCTAAATCCGGAGAGTAATCATTTAAATGACTGTTTTCTTCATAAAAAGATACTAATTAAAGCATCAGTGAACACTGGATGACTATCACGGAATTTCATCGCTATGAACTCATGACTGCATACGAGATCAAAATCATGACCTTGAAACTGCTTGACTAATATTATAAGTTTAATTTAGTTGTTTAGTGATCTCATATCCTCCATAAGACCTGTAGCTCTTAGGTTTTATATCATGTAAGGTGATAAAACTGTACTACTGCAAAATGACAAACTTTAATCTAGGTTTGTATTTGTCCGTTATATTGTCATAGTTTTAATTAATATCCCGCGTGCGTGATCGTGGATGCAAACATACTAGGACGAAATTGGCGTCCGATGCTTCCAGGTTTTCAGCAGTGATCTAGCTTAGACCAACTCATGAATTCGACTGCGAAAATACTACAATCTTCACAAATCCCCATAACGATAATATATAATAGACATTTGACATTAGAATATCATTTGTTTGCTTTATCTAAGTGAAGTTATTGTTTACGAACTCCTCCTAGAGTTCCCCCGGGGGCTACTGCCGGTCCCATGTCCGGTTAAAGGAAGAGGGTTGGGTATGGGCCTAGCGACCCCATCCCGTAGAAAACCAACTCTCTAAAAAACGTTAACCAGAAAAAAATTATTCAAACCATATTTACCATGCCCTGAGATTTAGAAGGTCTTCATTTACAAGAGTTTGATGTCTCATGATGAAGACAGAGTTCCTTCGAAAGTCACGAGGCTGATGCCCTTTCTGAAAATCATAGCAACCATTTATTTAGGTATATGGAATGTTCGTACTATGTGGGTGACTGGGAGAGTCATCCAAGGTGCTTCAGAAATGAAAAGATACAACCTGGAGGTGCTTGGAATCAGTGAAATTCATTGGACTCATGTTGGAAAACAAAGACTAGCTTCAGGAGAGTTGCTGTTATACTCCAGTCATGAACAAAGAAATGCTCCACACATACAAGGAGTTGCACTGATGATATACAAACAAGCACACAAATTACTTATAGGATGGGAATCTCATGGACTAAGGATAATCAAGGCTTTCTTCAAAACAAAGAGGGCATTTCAATGAATGTCATTCAATGCTATGCGCCTACCAACTATTATAATGAAGATGTTGACGATAAATTCTACGACAGACTGCAGTCAATCGTCGAGAAACGCCCAACAAAAACGACCATTCTGATGGGTGATTTAAATGCCAATGTTGGAATGGACAACACCGGATATGAAGACATCATGGGACGAGACGGACTGGGAGAAAGAAACGAAAATGGTGAGAGACTTGCAAACCTATGTGCCTTCAATAAACTGGTCATAGGCGGAACCTTATTCATACATAAATACATATACAAAGCCACACTTGTTTCACCGGATCACACTGCACAGAACTAAATCGACCATATATGCATCAACAAAAAGTTCAGGAGGACGATGGAGGACGTGAAAACTAAGAGAGTAACTACTATTGCACCAGATCATCACTTGACGGTCGTCAAGATGAAATTGAAACCCAGGAAGCACCGACAACGGGGCGGACAACATTACAACAGTTTAATACGGCTTTTCTTCGGTATACTGACAAACTCAACAAATTCAAGATAGTCCTCAGCAATATATTCCAGTCTTTTCGTGAACAATTCAATGGAGAGGGAACTACTATGGAGAGCCACTGGAAAGGGATAAAAGAGGTAATCACTTCAACATATCATAAGATTCTGAGCCACAAGAAGGCAGCAATCAATACCAGCCGAACAAGAGCAGAAAAAGTCAAGGCACAAGCTGAATAGACAGAAGTAAACAAGCAAGTGAAGAGGAGCATCAGAACCGACAAACGTAAATATGTGGAGGATTTAGCAATAACGGCGGAAAAGGCTGCAACAGAAGGAGACATGAGACAATTGTATGACACAACAAAGAAACTCTCTGGAAATCACCGTAAACCAGAACGACCAGTGAAAAGCAAGGAAAGCAAGGTAATCACCAACATCGAAGAACAAGGAAACAGGCGGGTGGAACACTTCAAAGAACTCTTGAATCGACCAGCCCCACTGAACCCACCCAACATCGAAGCAGCATCCACGGACCTCCCAACCGATATTGGCCCACCAACAATCGAAGAAATCAGCATGGATATTAGAAAAATCAAGAGTGGCAAAACAGTGGGACCAGACAACATTCCAGCTGAGGCACTGAAATTAGATGTAGCAGTAAATGCATAGATACTCCACATTCTATTCAGCGAGATTTGGGATGAAGAACAAGTACAAACAGACTGTAAAGAAGGACTTCTGATCAAAATACCAAAGAATGGCGATCTCAGCAAATGTGATAACTACAGGGGCATCACTCTTCTCTCAATACCAGGAAAAGTCTTCAACAGGGTGTTGTCAAACAGGATGAAGGACTCCAACTTTGAGACCAACAGGCTGGATTCTGTAAGGATCGATCGTGTACAGGCCGAATCGTAACACTACGAATCATTGTAGAACAATCAATTGAATGAAATTCATCACTCTACATCAACTTCATTGACTAGGAAGAGGCATTTGACAGCGTAGACAGAACAACATTATGGAAGCTTCTTCGACACTACGGCGTGCCTCAGTAGATTGTCAATATCATACGGAATTCCTATGATGAATTAAACTGAAAAATCGTGCATGGAGGACAGTTGACGAACTCATTCGAAGTCAAGATCGGCGTCAGGCAAGGTTGCTCACTCTCAACCTTTCTCTTTCTCCTGGTGATCGACTGGATCACGAAGACATCGACATCTGAGAGGAAGCAAGGGACTTCGCAGATGACCTGGCTCTTCTATTGCACACACAACAACAAATGCAATAAAAGACTACCAGTGTAGCAGCAGCATCACCAACAGTAGGTCTCAACATACACAAAGGGAAAAGCAAGACTCTCTGATATAACACAACATGCACGAATCCAATCACAATTAACGGAGAAGATTTGGAAGATGTACAAACCTTTACATATTTGGGCAGCATTATCGATGTACACGGTGGATCTGATACGGATGTGAAGGAGCGGATCGGCAAAGCAAGAGCAGCATATCTACAAGTGAAGAACATCTGGAACTCAAAACAATTGGCAACCAACATCAAGGTCAGGATTTTCAATACAAATGTTAAGACAGTTCTACTGTATGGGGCGGAAACCTGAAGAACTACGAAAGCCAACATCTAGAAGATACAAGTGTATATTAATAGCCGTCTACGCAAAATACTTCGGATCCGTTGGCCAGACACTATCAGCAACAACCTACTATGGGAGAGAACAAATCAGATCCCAGTGGAGGAAGAAATGAGGAAGAAGCGCTGGAAGTGGATAGAACACATAATGAGGAAAGCACCTAATTGCGTCACAAGACAGGCCCGCAAATGGAATCCTCAAGTCTGAAGGAGGAGAGGAAGATCAAAGAACACAGTACACCGAGAAACGGAGATAGACATGAGAAAAATGAACAAGAATTGGATGGAACTAGAAAAGAAGGCCCAGGACAGAGTGGTTTGGAGAGTGCTGGTCGGCGGCCTATGCTCCATCAGGAGTAGCAGGCCTAAGTAAGTAAGTAAGTAAAGTAATTGTTTACGATTTTAAATATAAGTGATAGTGAATAAATGTCTGTGGAATTATGGGGTAATATGAAGTAATATATATATATATATAATGAATATTGAGAAAAGGCGATAAAAACTCAGGGCAAATAACATACCAAAACTGTTGGAAGAACAAAGGCTCCTATTTTCCGTGCCAAAGAAACCTTTGTGGATTTCCATGTGCGAGTGACTTCGTTAACGACATTGGTACTGAATTAAAGAAAATAATATTTACAAGATGTTGGTTTCCTATTTTTATAAATAATCAAGTAATATGTTACTTAAAGAATTAGTTCTTTTAATTTTATCCTATTTAAAAAAATGCAGTATAAATTGTGACAGGAACCGTTATTATTAATGGTATGGTATTTGAGGACAGAATTTTTCTACGATCTTTGTTGGCGTATGTACATGCTGAATTACATCAATATAGCAATTTTATCACAAGTTCCATAAAATAAATGAATTGTGGTTAGAAGTGGAATCCAGGACTGTTGTTTCATCCTTTCCGAGACTTTTCAGCTGGATGTACCTGTATCCTGGTGTCGATGCTCTCATTAGGGCTCTTATCCAACACCTTTCACTCCAAATGTCCAACGCGTCAACCATTGAGCTAATAAGTCCCTATATCAACTAATTTATTTAAGTAGCATGATGGCTTTATTGGTATTAGCAAGGGCTTGAGTTATTACTTTGTTAATATTCAGGGTCAAAAGATTGATCAGAAATTCAATCCCTAACAGCTCACTGATGTAGTTGTAAACAAGAATAAGAACAACGTTTTGTTCTCTGTTTTGAGATCAGTTAGCAATTCAAAATATCTCAAAATTTGACAAGATAACCCAACTCAGATTGAAAAACACTTTTCCTTTACTATTATAGTTTTCCAATAGTTCATAGCTAAAGGGGCCTTAAGAATTCTAGCAAAGTATCTTCTAAGACGTCTCTCACTAAATAAATGGTCGTTTGGCATTGCCACTGAATTTTTCTTAGGTTAGCAAAAGCTAACAATTTGTTCTTTGTTGATTTATTAATGACCGTAAATTGTATTACTAGATAGGTACCACAAATGCTAAATCTACATCTTTGATGAGGTAAGAGTATATATATATATATATATATATATATATATATATATATATATATATATATATATATAATACTAACGTATTGTTTTATTTTTGTCTCACTGAATGTGTATGTAACTGGTGCTGATTGAAAGTTGAGCCAAACTAGTAGCTGGGATACTAATCTATTTTAAAACCATATATTACTCTTTAATAGAATGTGCAATCCATCGAGATTTATTCATGAATGTCCAAAACTGATTATTAGCTGGAATGATTGACGTTCTGTATTGATTCCCCGAAATATAATCTTTTTTGGCGTTTAGTAGAGTTAGCTCTGTTATTTATGGAACATGCATTATCAGGACACTGAAGAATCGATAACTTAGTTAATACAAGTTAATTTAAGAACTTTTATATATTTTTTAAGAGTTGAAATTTACTCGGTAGAATCACTGATTATCGTCAATGACTTACCTAGGAGAAAATATTCCGAACTCATCTCTCGGAGTTCTTGGCATTCCTGTAACAGGATCACGTTGAGTTCGTGGTCTGCCATGTTCGTCACGATAGAAAGCGTAAAGATTTCTGTTAAACCCCTGAATATGAAAGGAATACTGGATCGTTTATCTCATTCATTTTATACATTCGGTTAGTTGCGAAAAAGGGAAGTTAAAAAGAACAACTATTTGTAAATAAGTGATTAACAAAAAAATAATTTCATTACTATTGAATATTTTATGTAGTTGTATCATTTCATTTGAAGCACCTTTGAAATTATCTGGAATCAAACCGAGAACACTTGAATCTAATAAGAAAACTATCTTTTCTGGGTCCAAATCAAGTAATTCTACGCTTCACGTTGAATTTTCGGTCTGTTGTCTATATAGTTTAAGGTTTTTTAACTAGTCTCGCATCCAGAAGATTCCTTTTAGGAATTTACACATTAGGAAACTTGAAAAAAACTGGTGAAAACCCAATGAACTTCATTAATTTATAATAAGCAAATAAATGTGTCTGTGTAATTATGTTTATTGAGAATATACCCCAAACAATTCGACTAAAAATCTTTTAATCACACTCTAAGTATCTTCGTAAATGTAAATAGTAACAAAATAATCTGAAATGAAGTTGTTTCAAAACGAATCAATTTTTTTCATTTTTAAACGCTTCAGTAGGTAGTAATAATAATAGAAATAATAAATAAGCGCATCACAACAACAATTAAATTTGTATAAATGTGTGAATTATACAGTGAATAATAGAAGTAAAGAATTAATTTCATGGTAACAGCATCTGAATATGCGAAACGATTTTAAATTTAGAATAAGTACTTAATTTTACTTAAACGTTTATGTAGAATTATAGGGTTGATAGGTTACTGTAACAAACAAAGAGATTTATTCTTGTGAAAATATATTCAAGGCTTCCATAAATCATATTCATAAAGTATATGAAATTATCAATATTTACTATCAAAGACATGTTTGGAAATTTCAGTAAAAAAAGGAGCTAAATAAATTCTTTATTCATCAAAGTATCCAGAGATACAAAAGTAAATTATCTAATTTGATTGATCATTCAATAATAATTTCAATAGTTGAAATCATGAGTCAATTGAAGCCAGACCACCATGAAAAACCTGGAAGCACTAGACGGCCGTTTCGCCCTGATATGGGACTCCTCAGCAGTGCGCATCCACGACCCTGCCCCTCGCGAGATTCGAATCCAGGACATATCAATCTCACGCGCGAGCTCTTAACCATTAGACTACTGAGACGAGATGTGCACTGCTTATGAGTCCCATGCTAGGACGAAACGACCGTCCAGTACTTCCAGGTTTTCCATGGTGGTCTAGCTTCAATTGACTCATGATTTCAACTATTTAAATGACTAAAATCTCCACAAAACCCCTTCTGATACTTAATAATAATTAATGCCAAACCAACTAGGCATCAATGTTGAAAGAACTAATTTTTTTAGAGTTACACTATAATACTGAATTAAATTACTTGACAATGAAGTAAATTTTATTTTCAAAGTTAGATATGACTGACAAGAAACTCTACAACCTACTTCTTGTATTTGAAGATCAGGAGTATTGAATAGTTAATATACAAATCAACAAACCCTGAATATATTTTAAATAAAAATAGTTTTTTTATATTTTATATACAAACTGTTAGTTAAAAGACAAATTTTATTTGCAATCACCAAGTTGACAAGTAATTATTACAATACTGAATTGTATGAACTCTTGGGTGGGGAAATTTTTTTCAATTACAGAAAAAGTACGACTATATTGAATTAATGAATAAATGAATATATCGCTGGAAAATTCCCATTATTTTAAGGCACAAATATATGAACGGAGAATTTTCTTTTCAATAGTTTCCCTTCAGGGTTTATAATTATATATTCAAAATAATAATCCATGAAATTGGCCAGATTTAAGGTAAGGTACATCATATCAAATTGTAACATGTGAATTAAGGACTGTTGTTTGTTATATAAAATCAAATCCTTAATGTTGGGGCCGACTAATATCGTGTTAAATTGAATTGTGAGATAAATGATTAGAGTAAATATGGTCAACATGAGATAAGAGAGAGAATATATGTTATAAACAATATATTCTACATGTAATTTGTAGTAAAAATTATAAATGTTAATCATTTCAACAACGGTATGTTAAACAACTTAGCTTTGAAAATCATATTCATAAAACAACGCATTTTGCTAATTCATAATAGTTAATCCTAACATTTACATCTGATCATTTAATAACTAGTAAGTCTAATGGTAACTCATCTTTTTTCAAGATTTCATGATAGTTTGTTTAATTCAAGAGAGATTGATGTTCTGTATGTAAGTGAAAAACAAAGAGGTTTTGGCTGATGAAAGTGAATCACCGCAAAAATTTAGCTATACAGTTATCTCCAAACTATGTTTAAGCAAAGAACACGTGTTTATAACTAGCATTAAAACAAGAGCTACTTTGATTAAAAGTGTATCGAATTTGTGTATTAGAGAGAATGGGACAAAACACAACTTACTAATGCATGTCCGATTTCATGAATTGCTGTATACAGTAACATTTTACTCATTGGATAATTTTCATCCAAACGATTTGGGCAGAAATTAATGAATCCAAGGATTGGCCTGTTGTTAGAATATTAACATAAATTTATTGACAAAAAAATCTAGATTGTAATCAGTTATGAAGGACTAAAATTAAGGATATATATATATATATATATATATATATATATATATATATATATATATGCTTGATCAAGACCGATTAAACTGTTCTTTATATGTTAACTTCATATTTCAAGAATTAATTCACTTGACATTCAAACTATAGCTGATTACTATGAAAATTTCTTGAACCTTGAAATTAAACATGCTCAACCCTCATAAACTGAAAGATGTTGCTAAGTTATAGTTCAATGTTTCGAGGATTTTTCTCATTTGTACCAAAGAGATCAAGAATGTTTATGTAAATCTTGTATAATTCAACTTATCTGAAATGATTCAGAGTAAATATAAACTCGTTGTATGTGTTACAAGATCTTCAGTATTTGCTTGACTCAATATATCATTTGATGTGGAGAATAATCGTAAATATAATTACATTCTTTTGTAAACCAAACCTATAATCATCAGATCATGATCTTTAACGAAACTGTTAATTTTACCCTAGTCACGGTTACTGTATTAAGTATCAAGTTCAGTTTCCACCGGTTAACGAATACAATGTATTTATAGTTTCAAATATAATTGTGATATATATATATATATATATATATATATATATATATTTCTTACCGATCAGTATTTCCTTCCAACTGACAAGCGTTTGCATAAGCTATCAACCACTTATCATTACATAAGCCATCTGGCGATGCGTCAATTATCATTAAATATCCATTGCCTGGTATACCGGAACCATCAGATCCAGTAGTTCCATATCGTGTTCTACATGCCTTTATTAAAAAAAATAATAAACAATAAATTGATTGTTATTATAAAAAACAATTCACCTATTGCAAAATAATAGATAACTGAAAAAGTCTTATATTTTCTTGATATTACAAGAAATCATTTCATTTATCGAAATAAGTAGTATCCGAAACAAATTGATATTTTTTGTAAGTAGTTGCTATATATTAACCTTTTGTAGTTTTTCTTAACTCTAATTCAACAGATTTTCTTTGAAGAAATAATATAAAATTTCATGATAATACATTGATAAGTGACGTTAATTTTGAAATTGAAATTTATGTCAAAATATAATTTCTTTGAATTTGGTTGCTTTTTTGTTCGCTTTTGAAAAATGATAAAGGCAATTATATTTCCACTTGATACTGTTTTGCTTGAATATTCCTATTGACATTTAAGAGTGCAATTGATCAGTCTTTTATTGGCATGTGTGGTACCGGGTTCGAGTCCCAGAATGAACATCAACTCTGAGATGCGGGTTCACCCAGCTAAAGAGTCCCAAATAGGACGAAACACGAGTTCTGGATTCCACTTTTAGCTACTATCTACCTTTGCTTACAATCATATTTTGTTTAGTGAACATTTAATTAACATGCAATAGTACAAGTGATTATTGTTAATAACAAATGTAAATGATAAATTCCTGTAACCGATTACTTTCACCATAATTTTTCATATAACTTCATATCAAGCAAATAATTACTTTATAGCAAAGAGTTAAGACCAGTTGGGTTTTCTGCAAAGATGCTTGAATGGATACTTTGTAAAATTTGGAATTATTTTTCACTACAAATTTATAATAAATGGAAAATACTAGGGAGCACAGGATAACTATTTTTCCTAGTTTATAACTCATTTGAATCTCGTTGTATCAAAAATAACTTGAGGTTAAGGTGAAAAATTCAAAGTTTGAAGAACATTGTATTCATTGAATGGCTAGAAGTTCCTCATTTTTATTCCATGTTGAATTAAAATTTCATATTACTTGTAAGTCACAAACTCTTATTAAATATTTTTTCAAAAAGTTCTGTGGTATTTCAACGGGTTCTGTTTATGAGTAGAACTACTTCCAAATATTTTTTTCATTTTATGAGTAGTATATATCCTGAATACAGTTTTTTTAATAGTCGAATGAACATTAAAATTTTAATGTAATTAACTATAGTACAGTAGTCATTAGATTCACGTTTTCACTGGCTTTTCCTCGAAAATTTTATTCTTTAATCTTAAGAAACATCCATATTATTACTAAATGTCCAATGATGAGATGATAGTAATTAGCAAATCGTTAGAGACTGTTTTATTCTTCATTTACAGTTTTCTATGACATAGACCAAAATGAAGATCTGTAAAATTCTTTGATCTTATTATTGATTACATTTGAAGTTCGATTTCTATTTCTTTAAATAATTCATGAAAAGAGGTGCATAGTTTTATATACTGTTATGTATGTACTCACAGACTTACTTGTAAAAATTTCTCAGGAACTTGCATTGTATGACATTTAGCTGACGGATGACAATCATTTTCACAAACTGCCTCAAGCGATCGATTTTTGGAAGGAAAGAACCAAAGTCTATCATTTATACAATCTCTATTTTTATTGTAAATTGGTATAAAACAGAAAGAGCCATGTATTAATTAACAAAGATTAAATGTTGTCATGGATAAAGTTGTAATTTCTAAGAATTTCAGAAATTTCCTTCGTGTTCGATTAATTCTCTCTATATTTTGTGGCCTATATTGGTTTATTCCTATACCTTTTCACTGGTTAGCCACAATAAATTGAGGTGGAAATAATAGTTTTTAAAGCTGTGGACAGGATTGCACCGACTAAAAACATTTGGTTGATTCAAGAACTGAATGAATGAATGAACTTCTATTTAGTCTGCTTTAATAAATAGATAAAGATCGCAAAACTTATCTTATTCAGAAAGATTATCTAAAATCAAGAAAAATCAATTTTCAAGTATATAGTTGAAATTTTTGTTTGGACAGCACTGTTAACATTCAAACCAATGTATATTGGCTACATATCTTGTAATTGTTCTATAAAACTGTATCACGGCATGTTCAGAACAAAATCATTCGAGAATAAATCATATATATGTGATTTTTTATATGATCTAATGAAAATAAATAAAACAGCATTCATAGTAAACAATTTTTTATATGATATTCATTAAATTTCAAACTATTACACTATCACTATCAACTTACCGTCTGATTAGTAGGTTTCTGTTCGATGGCCGTTTAACACTGAGAGCATTTTGCCAGAAGTCTAGTGCTTTATCAACTATCTCATCCTATAATAGAGAAGGTGGAGATTTCATTATAATAACCAAACGTTAGTATTTTTTTTATTCGGATTGGCGAGATTATAATTTATGGGAGAACTAATCAAATTTAAGATAGTAGATCTTTGATATTGGCGCTAAATTCTTTCACCCACTTAGCTAAATACCATTTTGGCATTATAGCTGATGCCAGTTCCTGATGAAAACATTAAATTTTATTCCCAACCCCAACATTAAACCGTAGATCCGAATTCCAATTCCTCACACTAGTATATAACCCTCATTTAAACCTAGTATGTAGGTGGACATCTCAAGGTTATTTTGGCGTTGACGAAAGATCGTCCATAAATTATAGTCTCATCATTCAGACTTTTTCCAATTTAGTAGATTACATCGAGGAATATATTTGCTAAATTCCAACGCTGAAGAATTAATTTTTATGACATTTCAAAGCGTCTAATTTGCTTACTGTTCCGATTTCCTTTGATATTAGGGTAGAAGATCATGATTTTCGGTTGTGATTAACAGATCTTCAGGCTGAAATCAACCTTAATAAAAAGCTTAATCACTTTACATTGATTGTGATTCTAATCGTTTCACTTCCTGAAAGATTTCACAATTAAAATGTTTATTTTCGGGATAAATTTGCATTTTTGAACAAGTATTTTCATATATGAAGTTCTATAGGATAGAGTTCTGATCTCAACTTATTGACAAAAATGTAGAACCAGTATAGCATTACACATCACGGCAAAATGACTTTCGATTCCAATTGATTAGTGAAGCATTGCATAGTTTTATTCATTTCATTGATAAGTTAACGTCAACTCGGAAGACTAGATAAATAGATGCGAACTCCACTAATACATAATACATATTTACTTACCAATTACATTTATTTAGCTCTTTAATCAAAATTTTTACTGATCTGTAAGTTAAGTATTAAAAACAAAAGAAGAAAACTATATATTTCAATTATCCATTAATAAGATAAACAAAAAATGTAATTTTTATTCACCTTTAAAAATTTTGATTTTAAAGTTTTGTTAAAATTTGAAGCAAACAATGGTATGATTTTTAAACCTTGGTTATTTATTTGACGTGTTTGTATACCTTGTGTAAAACCTCCATGAGTCTAATAATTGTGAAATAAAAAAAAAATTTTTTTTTCTTAGAGGAAATAATTTCAGAAACGTACAATTTTCTTCATCGATTGTAATTTACAAATATGTTTACAATCTACTGAAATAATAAAATAGTAGAATAATATAAAATGAATAAATGATTGAATGGTTATTATTATCATTTTCAATGGTAATATTAATTTTATTAAATATGAACTCATAAAAATTTACTTCTGATTGTTCATGTATATATACATTAAGATTTAAATAACCTTTGAATTAATTGGTTAGTTTGCATTAGGAAATTTTGTCATGAATTAAGGTTATGAACTAGGAAGCACTTTTATTTTTGCAGATTTCTAGTAAATAATAATTATTATTATTAATACATAATATGTTATGGTCTTTTAACAATTAATGAGATTATAAGTAAAGATAAATAGTGACTAACAGTGAAATCTACTTTGATGCATGTTTTGTCTTATTTGGGACTTGTCAACTGAATTTACTTGCATGTCAGAGTTGATATTCACTCTGGGACTTGAATCCAGTACTGTTCACTTCAAACACTATCGTATTATTCACTGAGTCTACTTAGTTCTGATGGCTACATATACCAATAAGTGATTGATCAATTGCAGTCCTAAACATCTAGGAAGATTCAAGTAAATAATATATTTATAGGTATATTTATGTGTGCGTTTTAGAGAATTGTGTTAGTGATCATTTTTGTCAAGTCACTATATCTAACTAAACCATTGGACATGTCAATTAGATTTCTTGGTTTTTTATTGTATTTTTCAACTATTTTTTAGTTCATAATAAAAACCATCTTGAAATATAATTATCCAAACAAGTTTTCTACTTTAGGAATAGTTTCCCCATCAATAAGATGATTATTGTATTAACTTACAATTCATATCCACTTTATGGATTATAAAAAAATATTCATTTATTTTATGTTAGTACATACTTTATAAACAAAGCAAAAATCATTGCATGACGTAGCTAAATGCTCACAGTTAATTTAATGTTTAAAAGCTTTAAACGTTAGGAGCTTTTGCTTGTTAACAGATAAAGTCTGGTTTCTGTATATAGAAGAAATATGTTCTATCTTTGAGTCACATTGTATTTATTATTATGAATTTGTGATTTTTGTTCATTTTTATTCCTCATACGTTTTTCTCGAAAACATTTCAAACTCCAAGAATAATGGAACTACTAAGATTAGTAAAATCATCAATGGGCTTAATTTTACAATTGTTTATAATCAGTAAATTGGCTATTCAAGTCAATCCTAAAGTGGAAATTTTCAATTGGTGTATCGAAGTAAGAAAAAAATGAAGATTTACAAATATATATGCTTTGTTAGCATTTTCGTATATCGACAGTCTACAGAAGCTAAATAAATTTAGAGGGAAATTAAAGAGTACAATGGTTTAGTGTATATTTGTATCGTGGTTATCATTGTGGTACAGAACATATGTTTCATCCCGTTCTCGATTCATCATTTGTATGTACCGGCGTCACAGTGTTGATATCTACACTGAGACTAAAACCTGGTGTGCATCGCTTCAAATATCAATGCACGATACACTGAGTTAATAAACCCATAGAGTCATTAACTTATGAAGATAATAAAATGGTATGAAGAAAGGTTTGTGATTTCCTATCGCTGATATTCAGTACTGTAGCTGATCAGTCTCTGTTCAACATGCACATTCTGAATAGATCGCCCTGACACATTGTTTGTCACAAGGTTATAGTATATATTTTGGCTTCGGTTTGCAGTAAAATCTAGGACTTGGGTTTTGCACTTGAATGTGACTTCACACCTGTTGAACAAGTTAACGTCTGCTTGTGTTCTGTAGCTCAGTGAATCATGCACCGACATTTGAAGCGATGCACACCAGATTATAGTCTCAGCGCGAATATCAACACTGTGATGCCGGTGTATACAGCTGATGAATCGAGAACGGAATGAAATATGTGTTCTGTACTACAATGCTAACCACAACTCAATTATTTGCTGAAAACTAGTGACGGAAAATCTTAGGATGCACATATTGGGACAGAAACTGACAAAATCTAGACCTCAATATTAGTTGAGGGAAATTACAGACAATTTTAAAATTGATTTAGGTTTGAAATCATATTTTTTTAGTTTTCCCGACAACCATCGAGTTTGGTATGATGTTTAAGTTGCCAGTTCAAAAAGCTAAGTTAAAACATTTTAATAGATTTAAATTCATTTATTTTTGACTAGGTTCTATTCACACAAATCATTAAACAAAAAGAAAATATTCTATAAGTATTATTTATAAAGTCATGAAGTTTTAAATTAATGAATCTGTGTGATAGTTCTCTTTGCTCCTTAGGTTTTAACAGTCGTTTTTTTCACAATGATATGAGTCACACACACACACTGTCTTCATGCTCAAAATTCTTCCTCCTCGTTTTATAATGGGTAGAACTCAGTAAGGATTGAGATCTAAACCAAGTTACTAACTTTCCGAGATTATTGCTTGAATCATGCACTTAAGGGATTTTTAGACTTCGTTCCCAGAAATCCTGTATCACTGGTAAGCAGATATGTTTTTTGGCAGTTATCGTTCCTAATTATCGCACGACAGACCTTAAACCCAGAAAACATTCAACTTCAGCTAGTTTAAACACAATTGAATGTTGACTAAACAGACGTTTTAATTTAAAGATGCTGGATTGGATCCGATATCGAGTATATTGTCACGTCATTTCTATTTAATTTACAAAGTGTAACATGTGTTTCAAGTGAATTGTCCTATAAATAGCACTGTTTTGTAAAATCGTAGAAAGCTGAAATAATATATTTAGGACTACTAATTGCACTTTTAAAATTATTTCTTTGTTTCAGGATTGAACCTGTATAATTCCACTCAGTTTGATCGCTTTCATCACGAGTTTTGTAAACTTTGAAAAGTTTAAATTAACTTAGTGTTGTTTACTTGTATCTTTCAATTGTTATTTAGGACTGCAATTGATCAGTCTCATGTTGGCACACGTGCATCCTGTGCGGATTGCCTCGATATTGCCTTAATTTACAAGCTTTTTAAGCAAAGATGGATGGTGGGTAACAGTGGAATCCAGTAAAGCGCGCGTTCCGTCCTATTTAGGACTCATCGGCTGGATGAACCTGCATCCCTGAGTTGACGTTCTTTCCGGGACTCGAACCCAGTACTATTCGCTACAAACACCATCGCGTTCTCCACTTTGAAAAGTTTATTTTTTCGGTGTCTTTCTAAAAATTAGAATGACTTTAAAACACTTCTGTTTGGCATCGAATCGACCCCAGTTTGATAGTCAGTTTAGCGGAAGATCTTCATTTAATTACAACCTTGAATTCTAGTGATTTAAAGTTATCGGTGTTATCAAAGGCACTGAATCTGTTCTAAAAGCTTCAACCAAAATCAGAAATTTTAGCCTAACTATTCAGATGGTACTTAAAATCTTAGATAAATAGATTCAAAACACCAACCGGTCTTTTTTTGTGTCTTATTGTTAACTGAATTCTAGTAATGACTAAAATTTTACATTACTTACTTACGCCTGTTATTCCTCCTGGAGGAGAATAGGCCGCCCACCATCACTGTCCATCCAACCTGTCCTGGGCAATTCTTTCCAGTCCTTTCAAGTTGTTATTTATCCTTTACATGCCTGCTTCCAATTCCCAACGCAGTGTGTTCTTTAGCCTTCCTCTTTTCGTTTGCCTTAAAAATTCCAAGTAATATTGTTTTTGACTTATTAGCAAGTTTTCTCGTTAAGTAATACACCATTCTTTAAGTAGATTTAAATAATTTTTGTCTTCATTTAACATATAATTACATTACATTAATTCTACTTTTCATTGAATTTTTTCATGCTGCATAAAATTATTAGTTTTATATCAATATAAATCAACCTACAATAATACTGAAATCTTTTCTTCAATTCATTTTCATAAGTTATATTTTATAGTATTAAAAACGCATATATGTTGACGAAGACAATACTTTCCATCAGATTCCACAATTATACGTCTAAATTAATATTTAAAAGGATTAGCCATGTTGGAATGGCTTCCGGGAACTATGACTGAGTCTCCAGAGGCCCTAGATGAGCCGAAGAGTTTCATCTAATCGAAACGCAACGGAGCTTTCTAGAATATCAATGTGGCATGCTACTATTAGTCTGTCGCATAACATGTATCTTTGCGGAATGATTGAATTATAATATTGATTTAAAAAACGCTAATATCTATAAATACCCATGATTTTCTGTACATTTTAATTCATGTCTAACAAACACTTTCTCCAGTCTTCTTCTATCTTCTTATTTGCGACTTGGTGGATCTAGCGTTCGAGTGCTCAAGTCATACGCTGTATATTAAGAATTCAAGCTCTAGATATAACAAGACAAGTTTAAGGCGAATAAATTTTTTTTGAAATTATAACATATGGACTAAATAATAGTTGGTAAAATTAAGAAAACCGTTATTATAATTTATTTGATATTCATACTACACACTTATCTCAGAATTATATTATTTTGAATACATCAAATTTTGTTTTAAAAAATTAATTTTAAGCTTAATTGTATCGACTGCGTAAAACCTAGTCGTGTTGTATTCACTTCAATACAACTATTTCATTATCAAAGATTTACATGGCTTCCAAAAGATCTTGGTTACTTACTTTTAGAGGTAAAAATATTTAAAAAGGCTTTTTGATCTTAGATTTTTCTTATTTATACTTATTAATGGTATTACTGAGTCATGTCAACTTATGCTTAATTAAGGCTAGAATGTTAAAGTGATTGGTTCATTCATCTGTGTCTGTTCTTTGGTAGAAACTGATATTGTGTTTTAACTACGGTATAGTATGGAATAATACAATGATTATCATTAAACTTTAGAACACTGTTTACTCATTTAGAGGTTAATGGCATTATTATTATTATTAATTATTTTTAATAATATTATTATTATTATTATTAATGGTTTTATTTAATACTATATGTCCACTGAAATGTGAAATCCTCAGTATACAATATCTCAACAAGTTCCACACAA